TATCCGTAGTCATATTAAACAGGAGCGATATGTTGTGCAAGTTGCATTATGCAGCTTTTTGTATGATCCCTTTGGCCTAAGGCATACCTCACGCGATTCGGCCGAATCGCCACTTTCACGCGACTTGGCGATTTTCCAGATTTCTATAAATATATCATGCGCACTTCTCGGACGCATATTTGGGTAGCTTGTGTAAGTTGTTGCAAACAGAGCAAGTTCTGACCCAAGGCACGCATTAACGAGGAATTACGAAGAGTCGCTGTTGTGCCAAATCGCGCAGCGACCGGAATCGCGCTTGGTATGTCTTAGGTCTGATCCTCGGCGGCCGACCGTCTTCACTTTAGCCTTTTTCTTTCTACGAAGTTTATTGCAGAAAGGAAATTTTTAGCACGTTATTGCCTTCCAATCCGCTCAAATTCTGTAGACTACCTCTCTTCCTTAAATTTCTAAAGCTTCCTTGGGAACTACTGATGAGGGCCACCAAGGATTCTACACTACCGGTGTAATTCTTAGCGCCGAAATCGGATAGTGCCAAAAATGGAATACAGAAATTGTCATAGAATTTTGTATCTTTTTTTGCAATTTTATTCTAATTTTTCATTTTTTCAGTTCGGTGAAAGCATTCGAAAGTTGTGCTGATTTTCTAAGTTAATAACGTAGCAGCATGTTTCTGATAAGAACAAATGATGAATCAAAGTCATGAAAACAACCCTAACAGTCGACTTATTAGGTTTGTCGAAAATCTCATTATTTTGGTAACTCATTTGCTCTTATCATGAACACGTTTAAGACTGTTGGGCTAAATGATCAGTACAGCTTTGAAATGATTTCATAAATTTCGAAGAAAGAAAAATGATTTTAAAGAGACGCCGGCCGCCTGGGATCATCGGGGATCATAAAAAGCTGGAAATTTGGCATGTACTTCTCGTTCCCGGCCGATATGTTACAGCAAAGGATAGTAGAAACACTTGCGGACGAAAAGCTCGGCTGTTGCAAGTTCCGCTGACCGCCCCTTTCGGCAACATACAGTCGAGTAGATTTAGCGGTAAATATAGTGTGCTTGCACAGAAGGTGAAATGCGGTGAAATCTGCGCGTGAACAAGTAGCCACGTCAGTACCGCGGGTATCTTGCGCGCGCAATTGGCCGGCGTCACAGTCGACTATTTCTTCACGCGCCAATTTCACCGCATTTCACCTTCTGTGCAAGCACACTATATTTACCGCTAAATCTACTCGACTGTAATGTCCTCTACCCATAGACGACGAGAAATCTAGATGTCCGGAGCCTCGGATAAAGCATTCTTCCGAGCTGCGTTTCCCTCCCCAGCGGAGATTTTGATACACGCATCCCTTAGACTTTGTTACTGTGATTTTACAAAAATTTTAAATGCATTGCAACTTTGAGTGGAAAAGGATCTCTAGGCTTTACTTGAGGGCATTGTCCAGGCAAGTTTGAACCCTATACTTTTTTCGTTTGACTGGTGAAGGGCTCCTAACTAAGGCACTGCTCAAGTTGCAACGCAAATGATGTGTTCATTTTGCAAGTGACTACGAAAGAGTCCCAACGCGAATGTAGTGCTAATCGAAGCACTCAGACACTGGGACCGGCCGAGCCGCGGCCTCAAAAGGCGCCTTTCCGGCCCGTCCGCGGCCTTAATTTGTGGGCGTGGCCGGAGTGCGGCCGAGCCGCGGACCTTAATTCATGTCACTATCATTGCACCGGCCGAGCAACGGACTGAATATGGCTTACCGGCTCAGCCGCGGCCTTAATGATGGGGGTGGAACATTGCACCGGCTGAGCCGCGGACCAAAATCTTTATAATGAAACTCCGGCCGAGCCGCGGCCCATATCAGATAAGGTCCGCGGCTCGGCCGCTCCCAGAATCTGAGCATAAAGAATACTTGCGTGGTGTACGACGCTGATCAGGCTGCCCTCAGTGTCCATAGCCTTCGATGTCCTTCCAGTCTCCAAGGCGAAAACAAGATCAATATGTTGTACATCCTTGGATAGCACCTTGTGCTCGGACCTGGTACCCGAAGCCGCTATATAGGTGGCTTCAATTTTTGTTTTTTTACTGTGTAATTCTAAGTGCCAGTGAATAAAAAAACAGTTCTACTGTATCCGAGCTGAATGAACTAGACAGCCCGACAACCAGCTCCGGCCGAGTCGCGGACCATTCACCGGCTGGCCCGCGGACGCTGCGAAATTCCAGCCGGAAATGGGCCGCGGATCATCCGGTCCCAGTGTCTGAGCAGAGTCAATTGCGGGTTGCGGTCACGGCTTAGAGAGTGAGGGTTTTGGTGATGGATTTCTCAGCCGTAAATGGACGACTTGCGCAGCCGTTTGGGTACCGCCTTAAATAAGAAACCTCATCAGTTTCTACGCGAAAAATCTATGTGCCCATGCATGGACACTGTCTTTAAGGTGCTCGTATATGAACTGCTTATGTGTTCGGGGCATAGTTCTATATAGAATCGAAGCGAATTCGTTCTGTAGCGATAGCGTTTCCGACTACGCGCTTTCAAGGAGCAGCAACGGTTTTTTAAGTTATTCAAAAAGTCCCAAACCCTCAATAAAGGGGTGTATGTATAAATACGAACCGTACTTCACACTGCCAAAATTGTCGAATATGCAGAATGTCCAAAAGTGTAGCGTCTGATTACAACTTATAATAACTGACCATTTGGTGTGTGTACGTGTGGGTGTTGTTTGTACTGAAATTTGTAGAACGAGTTCCAGCAAAGGTCTTAAGCTAGACCTTGATCATAGCACGCTATCAACATTTAGCTCGATTTACTGTACAAAAGTACAAGCCGATCCGAAGCAAATCTTTGAGATATGTGCGTCAACCTGATCCGCGAGCTGTAGGCTCGCAAAACCAGGTCCACACCTGAACTTTTGGCACACTTATGATTTTTTCATATGCTTTTGAGACATCCACTCTAACTCGAAAGTAAAGGAAAAAAGTGCACTTTTTGCGGAAATCGCGGAGTCAGGGGTAGAGCTCAGGGTTAGTTGGATTGTCCATTTTTTTTTTTGAGATTTTACTCACAGAGATGTAGCTTACAAAGGATGTCACGTAACTTGAATCGCGTTTCGAGATGAGACACTTATATTTGATATCAGCTTTGAACGATGATTCCAAATATGCTATTTCTAAGTGCGGAACATCATTCTGAAGCCAGTTATAGATTTTTTTGTGAGCGGCATTTGCATGCTCATTTGATTTACCGGAAATACTGTACTAACATTTGAGTCTAATACACCGCGTTGAGTAATTTTTTAACGACAACGGATTTGATCTGTTCTTATTTTGATGGTGCAGCAGCACTTTTTTCGGGCAGATTTCGGTTCATAGACATTCTTAATGTTAAGTGATACGTCAAATTCGCGCATTAAAACTCAATAACTCGCTTGGTATGCCACACCTAGGAACATCATGTTTGAAATCAGCGTTCGAAGCTGATTCCAGATATATGGGTGTCATCTCGAAACTCGATTCCAAGTTACGTGACATCCTTTGTCAGATAAGTTATTGTTTTGAATACGACTATCAGATCACGGTAAGTTCAGTAACTATTCTAAAAAAACTTTGTTTACCTGCTGAAAAGTTTTTTCCATCTGTAGCCACCAAGCTCGTATAATAGAACCTGGAATGAGGACTTTTTTGCATTTTATTTGCGATCTTTTTCACCTCTGCTTCGCAAGGCTCGCACTGGTACTTTTATCATGTGCCTTCCTCGTTTCTCTGATGGCTTTGGAACTTAGCAGGCGATGCTAGCTATCACAAAAACGTGAACAATTACTCATTCCGTACTTTGTTCAATGTAGATGGGTTACTCATGGGAATAGGATACTTGGCGGTCGTTCTCTTTCGATATGTGATATATGTCATGACATTCGCCTTGAAACGCTGATCTCGAAACCATATTCCTTATCTGCAAAACGTTTTTCGAAAAAAACCGTATTGCTTCGCATCTGACGTGTTTGCACAAGAGACGAGTAATTTTGATAGGTGCGGTCTCGAATGGTCCTAACGGTTAGCGCTGTCGATTATTCACAGTGGATGCTCGTGAATAATGATGATCTCGGTCGATGCAGATATTTTTGCGTTTTTAACGCTTTTACAAGCGCTAATTCTTCTCGGAAAAGCGTCCTGCAGCTAACGAAGATAGTTTCGAGATCAGCGATTCATGGCATTTTGATATATAACACATTCCAAAAGGCCAGGGCCACAGTCATCCTTCCCTTGTTGAGAAAAAAATTTCTACATAACAACGAATGCGAATTTGAACCCCTGAACCTATTATGGCTTGGCAGTCACCATAAGCACAATAACCACCGTGAGCTAATCTTTGCGCGAGAATTTTTCTGAATTAACAATCAGTTCCCCGACAAAAGCCCACGAACATATAAGCAATCATTCCTTTCTGCCGTCAATTCTGCACGAAAGTGAACTTTTTGCTCTTTTTTTTGGCCAAAATCCAAAGTTTACATATTTACTTGACAATCATATCCATAAAGATAGTATGGGAGGCACATCGCGTGCCAAAGCTAATGTGGATCAGCTTGGCGCGCAGTTTTTGAAGGAAGACCGCACAACAAATGCTTTGACATGTTGGAGCAACAGGCTTATCAACTGCAGTGTTGGGAGCACCAGCTCTCCACTCCCGCGCGGTCGCTTCGCCTCACTTTCCCACCGCGAGCGTGGGACAGGCGGAGCCTCATTTGACTGGATACGATTAGAGAGCACGCTTGCGGAAGAGATGCAGATTTCGGCGCGGGAGTGGAGACGCTGATGCACACAATACTGCAATTGATAAGCCCTGTACATGCTAAAGACATACGTTATGAAAATTCGGCTCATTTTCTTGGCTGAGACTGATTTTGCGAATTTCTTGACAGACAGGTTTTCATACAAACTCATATAAAACCGACCTTAACGCGTTTCCATAATAGAATGCTGGGCAACATTTGATGAGTTTCATTTCTACTAAGGCAGACTGAGAGCAGCACTCCAATCTATTTTTATTTATGTGAGTTTAAAAGCATATCTCTTTGCTGCTCCGGACATGCACTGCAAGCTTCTGCGAAGCGAAGGTAACGCTCTGTTTTTCCAATACTCTTGTACGAAGGCTCCTGCTGCCACTGGAGCAGCATAATGTAGCTGGCTTTAACGCTTTTATTCGATCTACACTATGAAATGAATCATCGACCTTTCTTTGACACTGTAGAACTAAAGACCTTGAAGAAAGGCCATCAAGAACCCTATTTCGAATAGGTTTAAAATCTGGTTAAGAAGTTTGCACTCTGTTGTAATGCTTTTTTTCATGCCAAATACAGCGTCACGAGTGTATTCTAAAACTCTTTTGAAATGCAATCAAAACGCCTTAAAAGTATGTGAAAAGCTGTTCCATGCATGAAAACCCTTTTACACTACCTGTCACTTTGAACTTTTTGAAACGGCGTAATTCACAATGGCATAGGGGTTTTGCTCCATTATCGTCAATCTTCTGAGGCCAGCTTTGTAGCCCAGATAACTGCTGCAGCGGCTTGATAATGCAACTAGGTTTCATTACCAAGCCGCCGCACGTATATCTCAGCGTTACATGCATCAGGTCCAGCAGCGGCCCATACGTGTGAGCTGGCGATCCGCGCACGTAGTCGATGCCATGCTAATGGCAGCACGCAGACTTGTATAGGCTCTTAATTCTACTGGTGGCTCGCGCTCCCATACAGACGCATGCGGAAATTGACAGCGATCCTCTCAACCACATATACAATACAAGTTGATCACAAAGAATGCTCGCTTAAGATACGACGAAACAGGGCACAAGTAAAATGCTCACGAAATGTGAATTTACAAGCTAATCTGTACTTACAATTAGCAGTGAATTTGCGCGGAACTTCCACTATCTTTACAACTCATTTATACAACAGTGCGTCACCACCGCTTCGCGGAGGTTCGCATTGCTCTGCTATCTGTGTGCCTTTCTCGTCTCGCATAATGATGAGCTTGAAACTCACCGCGCGATGGTGAACATCACAAATGAATTGTAAACAAATGTTCATTTTTGAAGCATCTCCATGTAAGATCGGTAATTTTGGGAGAGAAAACTTTCCTTGCAAAGGAACAAATGCGGATTTGAAAGAATTATTGAATTTATTTCTGCTTAATAGTCGTCATAAGGATTATAGTCACCTTGGAGTAAATTTTCGTGCAAAAATCTCTTCACTTTTTTAGGTAGGGCCTTGCCAAATTGGCTATCTAGGCCCTTACCCCTTTTTGGCGCTGTTTTCGCAGAAAAGCAAACTTTTTGAGCGCTTTTGGGCTAGAATTTATGGGGCCCAAAGTTACGCGTCAGGCAAATCATGACTTTACCAAAGTCGAATTAGCTACCTAGTTTTGGTGCCAGAAGCCGTGGACCCGTTTGCGCGCACATTTTTAAGGACCTGCTTATCAAACCAGCTTACCAAACCAGCTGATGCGATATGTCATGCAAAATCAATAGCTTGGCTGCAGCTTTCTCTATGAATCTCGTGACACACACAAACACACACACACACAACACGTAAACAACCTTAGCCCGTTATTATAAGTTACTTGCTGATGTACCCGGCCTTGCCCGGGATAATATCATTCACCATCATTGCTGTGTGATATGCAAGACCATAAATCTATCATGAGTTTATTTCCACATAGAAAGATTGGTAACAAAGCTTTACTTCAAAGCGACTTTGTTTGAAAAATATCAAGAAAAGCATTTAATAAAGCATTAAAGAATTAGGAAAATATTTAGCAATGCAATCTGACTTCTTTCAACACAAAAAATAGCGAAGGGTTTTACTCTTTAACAAAAAAAAGCAATTGCGGCGCGTTTGCAGTGGATGCAGAGCTTGTTCAAGGGTCCATACATCACTAATTTCAACCGATAGTCACCGGTGTATCGCTTATCTCTATATATAAAACTCAAAAATTGTCTGTTTCGAGGGTATGTGAGTTATAGAAACGC